GGCCTCGAGCCCCGTGCCCGCTTTTCCTCGCACCATCGATATAATGACGCGAGTACTTTCGCCTCTAGGTCCCAGGGCGGGGATCCGGCCAGGACGCAAGCCGCCTCGTAGGAAATCGTGCGATACCCGCGGACGACTCTGACGGCCATCGCCCTCTGCGGTTTACGCAGAATGGCGAGAGTGCTGGCCGTCATGTCCATCGCCCACACAGGGGCCCCATACAGGGCCATAGACCGCACGATTCCCACGTACAACCGCCTACAGGCAGCGCTCGGGCCCAACAAGTTGGGAAGCAACGTTGATAGCGCGCCCGCTGCACCCATCAGCTTGGGCGCCAGCCGCCGGAAGTGGGGTCCGAATTCCCATCGGCTGTCGAGCACCAATCCCAGATACTTCATGGTGCACTCGACAGCTATCCGGGCCCCGCTGACCACGATGTGTGAACCCGGCGGCGGCGCGCGTCGAGGGCCATGGAACACCATGGCCTCCGAATTATTTAGGGCCACCTCCAGGCCCAGGCGCCGGATGCGGTTCACCACTTGTGACACCGCAGCCGTGGCAACCAACGCTGCTTCCCTGTGCGAACTCCCCCGGGCAGTGACGAGCGTGTCGTCCGCATAACACGTCAAGTCGGCGCCCGACGGGAGTTCACCTCTCAGCACCCAGTCGTAGCCGATGTTCCACAGGAGCGGTCCCAAGACCGATCCCTGCGGAACACCGCACGACATGACGCGCCGACCAGCGCCGTCACGTCCCCAATAGGTAACGCATCTCTCCTCAAGGTAAGCCCCTATTGTGCGGCGGAGGTAGGGAGGCACGCGATGGTTATTCAGCGCCTCCCGAATACAACTCCAGGGTAGGGTGTTGAAGGCGTTGGAGATGTCTAAGGACACCGCCAGCACCACCCCACCCCGGGATACTGTCTCCTCCGCCAGGGCCCTCACGCGCGTAATAGCGTCTATGGTGGAGCGCCCGCGACGAAAACCAAACTGGTTCTCGTCCAGGTCCAGCCTCCGCGACTCCACCTCGGCTGCAGCGGTAGAGGGTGCGGACTCCCCTCTCACCGCAGCTCCCCGACACACATCCGAAGTGGGCTTCCCAAGCCCACTCGGAGTGGCCACCTCGGGCCGGCCCTACACCACGGGCCAGCCAAGGGGTTCCTCTTTGTTCACCGTGGGTGACCAAGCCACGGCTACTAAGCCCCCCCGCCACGACAAGGCGGGAACCCGTTCGGGGGGGAACCTTTTTTTTTTTTTACATGGGGAAATGCCTATGCATACCCGCCTTGCGGGGGCAAGGACGGGTTATGTCGGACTCGCACCGACTAAAACCCCATGGTGTTCCACCCTCGTCGCATATTGGCAGGGCCACGGGAACGCTTTTGCACACTTCCGCGGCCCCACCTGCGCTGGCCACCCCATGGCGGCCCCTCCTCGGGAGAGGACCACTCCTCCCCCATCTCCTTCTCCGGTAAGGCGCACCAGAACACATAGCGTGCCCTCCTCCTCGGCCTCCAATTTCATATGCGCAACGGACGCCCCCGTGTCCGATGCGCGAAGGCCATGGGGCCAGGAAAAACTAGCACTCAGAAGCACCAGCCTTCCCGACCCCAGCGGCGGATCTGGCCTATGGCTCCGCCGCCAACCAAGATTCGGCTGCGGAGGGTAGGGAGAGCGGCGCCTCGCAATACCGACACTCCTCTCCCCCCGCAGCCCCACCACCACCGCATCAATTGACGGTGCGGCCCCGTCTGAGTCGCGGAGGATAGGGCGAGTGGCGCATCGCCATACCAACACTCCTCTTCCTCCGCGACTCCACCTCGGCTGCAGCGGTAGGGGGAGCGGACACCCCTCTCACCGCAGTCCACCGACACACATCCGAAGTGGGCTTCCCAAGCCCACTCGGAGTGGCCACCTCGGGCCGGCCCTACACCACGGGCCAGCCAAGGGGTTCCTCTTTGTTCACCGTGGGTGACCAAGCCACGGCTACTAAGCCCCCCCGCCACGACAAGGCGGGAACCCGTTCGGGGGGGTCGGGGGGGGAACCTAACCTAACCTAACCTTTTTTTTTTTTTTTTTTACGGGGGGAAATCCTCATGGACTACCTCCGCCTGGGGAAAGGCGGAGAGGCGTGCCGGACTCTTACCGGCTAAAACCACCCCGGTGTCTCCTCACACGTGCGCGTGGGGCCGCGGGAATCCAAATTCTTCCGCAGCCCCACACTAGTGCTGGCCCGGTCCGTCCGGGCCTCGTCTCCTGCACGGGGTAGTGAGGTGTTAAACTACCCCGTGTATCGCCTCAGGGGCGCGCGCCGACACCCGCGCGCGCCTCCGCCTCGGGTCCATCGAGTAGGGGTGGCGGGGGCTTCCCCAAAACCCTCGCCCCTGGACCCATTTATGGGGACCAGAAAAGGGCGTTGTCCGCCCTTCTCCTGCGCCCGGTGCGCCTTCTGCGGCCAGGGAAGGGAGTCCAGATCTCCCTTTCCCGTTCCGCAGTTTCCTTCTGCGACATCACGTCCTCGCAGAAGGACACCACCGCGTCCCACGACTCTGCACTACCGACCATCTTCCGCACTAAGGCCGGCAGCGACAGATCGCCTCCTACTTTATTTGTGAGGACACGGCGCTGCTCCTCCCAAGCTACACACTCGGCGAGCGTGTGTTGCGCCGTGTCCTCCCCGCAATGGACGCAGTGGTGGCACCGAGCGTCCGGCTCCCTGTCTATGCGGCGCAGGTATTTGCCGAAGCAGCCATGCCCCGACAGCACTTGCGTCACCCTAAACGACAGGGAGCCGTGCCTTCTCCCGAGCCAGTCGTCGAGTACTGGCCGGATCGCCTCGACGGTAGCGAGGCCGGCGGTAGGGCGCAGAAGCCTTTGCCGCCATTCCTCCACCAAGACCTGATGGAGCTCCTCTCGGCGCAGCGCGATCTGCCGCTGCACCGGCCTCGAGCCCCGTGCCCGCTCTTCCTCGCGCCATCGATATAATGACGCGAGTACTTTCGCCTCTAGGTCCCAGGGCGGGGATCCGGCCAGGACGCAAGCCGCCTCGTAGGAAATCGTGCGATACCCGCGGACGACTCTGACGGCCATCGCCCTCTGCGGTTTACGCAGAATGGCGAGAGTGCTGGCCGTCATGTCCATCGCCCACACAGGGGCCCCATACAGGGCCATGGACCGCACGATTCCCACGTACAACCGCCTACAGGCGGCGCTCGGGCCCCCCAAGTTGGGAAGCAACGTTGATAGCGCGCCCGCTGCACCCATCAGCTTGGGCGCCAGCCGCCGGAAGTGGGGTCCGAATTCCCATCGGCTGTCGAGCACCAATCCCAGATACTTCATGGTGGACTCGACAGCTATCCGGGCCCCGCTGACCACGATGTGTGAACCCGGCGGCGGCGCGCGTCGAGGGCCATGGAACACCATGGCCTCCGACTTACTTAGGGCCACCTCCAGGCCCAGGCACCGGACACGGTTCACCACTTGTGACACCGCAGCCGTGGCAACCAACGCTTCTTCCCTGTACGAACTCCCCCGGGCAGTGACGAGTGTGTCGTCCGCATAACACGTCAAGTCGGCGCCCGACGGGAGTTCACCTCTCAGCACCCAGTCGTAGCCGATGTTCCACAGGAGCGGTCCCAAGACCGATCCCTGCGGAACACCGCACGACATGACGCGCCGACCAGCGCCGTCACGTCCCCAATAGGTAACGCATCTCTCCTCAAGGTAAGCCCCTATTGTGCGGCGGAGGTAGGGAGGCACGCGATGGTAATTCAGCACCTCCCGAATGCAACTCCAGGGTAGGGTGTTGAAAGCGTTGGAGATGTCTAAGGACACCGCCAGCACCACCCCACCCCGGGATACTGTCTCCTCCGCCAGGGCCCTCACGCGCGTAATAGCGTCTATGGTGGAGCGCCCGCGACGAAAACCAAACTGTTTGTCATCCAGGTCCGGCCCCTCACTGCACAAGTGGCTGACGAGGCGATCTGCGATGATACGCTCAAAAAGTTTGCCCGCCTCGTCGAGCAGCACAATGGGCCGGTACGCGGACGGTGAGTCCGCGGGGCGCCCCTCCTTCCTGAGCAGGACCAGCCTCCCCTCCCTCCACACACTGGGAAACTGACCCTGCTCGAGACATGCCGTGAAGAGCCCTCTCAGCTGGGGCTCTAGCTCCTTCAGAGCCAGGACGAGAGCTCGACCAGGAACTCCGTCGGGTCCGGGCGCTGTGTTCTTAGCCCGGAGTCGCGACACGGCCACTCTCGTCTCTGCTTGCGTCACCTCAGGGACATCGGTGCTCTCCTCTTCTGGAGAGTCTGTGGCTGAGGGCGAAGCCATCGCCGGGGGAACGTGTCCCACTCGCTCAGGGAAGAGAGTCGATAACACCGACTCTAGCAACTGGGGTTGCATCCTTTGTGTTAGTGGAGGCGCCCAGGGATGCAACTTGGCCCGAATCCAACGGTAGGGGCGCCCCCACGGATCCCGATCTAGGGACCCCAGCAGCTCCTCCCTGGCACGCGACTTTGAGTCGCCGATGGCCAGCCACAGAGTCTCCTTAGACGCGCGGTACACCTCATACAGCGCGTCCTCCTCGGCGGAATCCCGTCGACGCCGCGTCCGGTATCGGGTGTACCGGTGGCGAGCCGCAACGCACGCTATGCGCAATTGCGCGATCTCGGCGGTCCACCAGTACACCTGGCGCTTTGCGGACCGTTGGCGGACACGGGGTATTGACGCGTCGCAGATCTGCGTCATCGCCTCGCGAAACCATAACGCCACCGCTTCGACGTCGACGGGGCCGTCCGTCGTCGACTTCCGAATCCAGGACTGGACTAGGGCAGCTTCTTCGAGTAGTTCCCTGTCGATGCGCTTAAGCGCCCAACGCGGGCCGTCGTTAATCGGGGTTGTTGGATGGCGGCCGCTCGCAGTCTGGGCAGAGACGTCGAACCGGATGTACTGATGGTCCGACAGCGTCTCCACCTCTGCGGCGACACGCCAGTCGCGGACTCAGCTGGCGACAGAGGGGCTAGCAAACGAGACGTCCACTATCGACCCACCCCGCTGCCGCACGCATGTGTATTCCGAACCCCGATTCAGGACGACCAGACCAGTCGTCACCGTCCACTCTTCTAACACCTCGCCCCGAGGGTCAGTGACCGGAGATCCCCACGCCGATGACTTGGCGTTGAGATCCCCGAGCACCAGAACGGGACGAGGGTGATAGCGGCCTATGACGGCGCCCAACTCGACAAGGAAACCCTCAAAGTCGGCGAGACTCTTGTTGGGGGAGAAATACGCCCCTACAATAACGATGCCGCCCGAGACCGCAGCAACCCAGCCGCGGCCCCGAGACGGGTCGCTCAGAGTCTCGCCAATAATGGCCACCAAACCGTCAGCGCATCCCAACCAGTTGTCACGGGCGGGAATGAAGTACGGTTCGGCGACCACAGCCACGTGAATCGACCACTCTGCCATGCTCTGGAGTAGGAGATCCTGAGCTCTGGCACAGTGGTTGATGTTGCCCTGGAGGAAATGGAGAGAATGGAATCGTGCCATTATTGACATTCCATCCCCTCGGCAACGGTCCTGGGCCGGGAGTCGGCCGCGGAGCTGCTAGCCTGCGAGGGCAGCGAGGTTAACCCGGCAGGCTTAGTGCTCCTCTTTTTTCCTTTTTCTTTTTCTTGCTGGCAGGCGCCCCACAAGCCCTTCCGCCTACTCTGTGCTCCGCTGGCCTTCCCGCAGCAGAACAAAGGCTGCAGTTGAGCGCCGCGGAGCACAGGGCAGCCTTGTGGCCAGGCTGGCCGCAGCGATAACAGAGGTCACTACGGTCAACCTTGGCGGTGCACTTCGCCCGGACGTGCCCTTTTTCCAGGCACCGAAAGCACTGCAAAGCCCGGGGCTGTAAGAGCTTGGTCCTTGCCGCCACCCAGCCTACCAGCAATCTGCCGCTATCGGCGATCTTCTTTGCCGACGCTACAGGGCACCGAACCCAGACCGCGCCGAGTCCGGTGGCGTCGGTGCGTATATCGCCAGCCCGCACCTTGTCCGGCGGACACTCTCCGCTTCTGGCAACGGACGCCACCACCTCCTCTGAGGTCACGGAGTGACGGAGGTGCACCCGTGGCAGCCTGCCTGAGGGTGACGGACTGAAGGCCAAGATCAGATAATTTGATCTTGGCCTTGGCCTCGGCGATGACCGACTGGTACGTCACGCCACGCTCCACAGCTCCAGGCTGCAACGTTATTGTCACGGCGTTGGACCGCGGAACATGTACAGCCGGTCTCTTGCGACCGCCTTTGGCAGTCCGCTGTGCAGGTTTAGGAGCCGTCTTTGCGGTTCCACCTGGGGCACATGCGGCTGCTGCGGCCTTCTTGGCGGCTTTGCGGGCCTTCTTGCGGCCCACGACTTTCGCCCAGGTCTCACCCTTAGACCCGGCAGTCGTGGGCTGGTTGCTCGGAGGAGCTCCCTCCGCGGGCTTTTTGTTACCCTCCGCGGGCTTCCCCTTTTGAGGCGCAAGTCTCGGCGGCTCCTCAGTCCTCCGCGTGTCAGCCGCTAAAGGCGGACGGAGGATTTCCACCGGGAGACGCCGAGAAATTGCCTCCAGCCGAGCGTTAACCATGCTCCCGCACTGGAGCATGCAGAGCCGGACAATGCGCTCGACCTCTTCGTCGGTACGAGGGCTTGCCGGTCGCAGTGCGGGAGTCGGGTTCACTACAGGTGCGGCATCGCTGGACGTGCGTTGCTGCTGCTGCTCGCTTAGCGCAGCAACTTGCCGCCGGAGGTCCTCCAAGTCATTTCTGAGGCGGCTGTTTTCCTCCTGTAACTTTGCGACCTCGTCAGAGGCCGTCCTGTTGAGGAGGATGCCAACCGCCTCCCTGATATCCGCGGCAGCCTCCTTTAAGCCACGGGTGAACGTGCCCTTCAGGCTGCCGGACTTGGTGGCAACCTTCAGGACTAAGTCCACCCCATCCAAAGCCAGCTGGCTTAAGGCCACCGCAGATGGCTCTCCCCCTTCCGCCGCAAGAGCAGCTCGTCGCTCGCGAGCACGTCGGGCCATTTCCGACACTTCGTCGGCCGCGACGGCTTTGCGCTGCTCCCTCTTGGCGGCATTGAGCTCCGCCTTTGAGCTCCCCAGCGAGGCACAGCTTTCACCGCCATCGCCAGGGTCCACCGTAGTGAACCCCATGTCACTATCTGCTTCGCTAGCCGCCGAGGTATTGGAGCACACGAACCGTCCGTGCTTATCCCTCCGCGGCTGCGAAGTACTCGCCCCTCTCGATGCCTGCCGACCCCTCCCCGAAGTCGGCAACTTGGGGGCCGGCAGGCCTTCCTCGTCTGACGATCGGCACACTGGACGTTTCCTAGCGGAAGACGTCCCACGCGATCGATTTCCGCCGCTACCAGTATCTGATCCTGCCTTTTCTACCTCTACTGTTTTTTCTAAATATTTTTCTTTGTCATTTTTATCCCACGAGTGTGGAGGAAATAACAGTCCATCCGAGCAGAGCCCCCTTTGCCCGGATAAGCCTATTACCGGCCGGTACCCCGACGGGGGCAACGCTAACGACTGAACATTTACCCATCAGCCATGCAGCTCCTCACGGCGTGCCACGCTTGAGCTTCGGGTGATTTTTTAAAGAGGTTATCATCCTCGCGACTCCAGGCGGTTAAGCCAAGAGCCCTCGGCCCCTTAGGCGCCGCGAGACGTGATCCACGACACGCCATAGGGATTCCGAGGTTCGAATGGTGGCAGAGTCGATACGGGTTCTTCCCATGCCTGCCCAGAGACCGGGTTAGGGAACACTGAGCCCATTCAGTTTCCTTTTTTTATAGGGTGTGGTCCCTGAAAATCCCGCGATTACGGGTTGCCCGGCGTCGGCAAAAGCCGAGTGCACCTGGCACCTCACCGCGCATGTCACATTCTCTGTTCCTCTCAAGGGAGAGGATACAGGAAGCAACTAATAGGCCCTCCGCTATGCAAACAAGCCCTCACCCAGCCAGTTTTGGTCCGCGACGGTTTCCCGCTACCACCCATATCTGAGTGGCGTTCCCCTATCCGCCACCTGGGGACGCGCCCGATGGGAGCTCTGGCAACTCCACACGGGAACCTAACCTAACCTTTTTTTTTTTTTTTTCATGGGGAAATGCCTACGCATACCCGCCTCGCGGGGGCAAGGACGGGTTATGTCGGACTCGCACCGACTAAAACCCCATGGTGTTCCACACTCGTCGCATATTGGCAGGGCCACGGGAACGCTTTCGCACACTTCCGCGGCCCCACCTGCGCTGGCCGCCCCATGGCGGCCCCTCCTCGGGAGAGGACCACTCCTCCCCCATCTCCTTCTCAAGTAAGGCGCACCAGAACACATGGCGCGCCCTCCTCCTCGGCCTCCAATTTCCAATGCGCAACAGACGCCCCCGTGTCCGTTGCGCGAAGGCCATGGGGCCAGGAAAAACTAGCACTCAGAAGCACCGGCCTTCCCGGCCCCAGCGGCGGATCTGTTCTATGGCTCCGCCGCCAACCGCGATTCGGCTGCGGAGGGTAGGGAGAGCGGCGCCTCGCAATACCGACACTCCTCTCCCCCCGCAGCCCCACCACCACCACATCATTAACGGTGCGGCCCCGTCAGAGTCGCGGAGGATAGGGCGAGTGGCGCATCGCCATACCAACACTCCTCTTCCTCCGCGACTCCACCTCGGCTGCAGAGGTAGGGGTGGGGAGGACACCCCTCTCGCAGCAGCCCACTGACACACATCCGAAGTGGGCTCGCCAAGTCCACTTGGAGTGGCCACCTCGGGCCGGCCCTACACCACGGGCCAGCCAAAGGGTTCCTCTTTGTTCACCGTGGGTGACCAAGCCACGGTTACTAAGCCCCCCCGCCACGACAAGGCGGGAACCCATTCGGGGGGGAACCTAACCTAACCTAACCTAACTAAATCGAACTTTTAAATTTTAGAAATTATTGTTAATTAAATTATTAAAAAACGAAATTGAATCTCTAGCTTTTATTATAAAATAGTGTTAAGACCAATGCACTAAATGTATATATAAAATTTTGGATTTTTACAATAAGTAGTTTTTAAGTTAGAAATTTTTTTAAATTTTTATATAACCACTTGTTATCCTTTATTACCTTTATGAACTCTGCTGCTATTTTCGGAAAAGCCTTAAAATAGATACATAATTTAACTCCAAATATCCGTTTTCAGAACTCGATTATCTCAGTTTCATAGATACGTAATTTTTTGTACTTCTTTTGTGTTTTTTTTCATTATTAATTAAAATTTAATAATAAATCTCCAAATTTCACAAAATTTTTGAAATCATCTAACAGAGAGCTATCCGTAGAGCCCAAACTCGGCTATATTATCTTCTTAATCTCAAAGGTTAGAAAAATTAGAAATTTTGGGTCGCCATATTGGAAATTTGACTTTTTGAATTTCGCGGGAAGTAATTGGCCAAAAGTGGTCGTGCTTGGTCTTAGTCTGATCGGGAGTGTTTGGAGAAAGCTATCATTTGGTTATCGTGAAGAAAAAATTTATGAAATGGATGAACCTTTAAAAACCATTAGCAGAATTCAAGTGGAAGTGCGAGGCTTAGCAGCCAAAGCACAACCACAACCAGCTGAGCTTAGCTCAATTGCTTATACGACGACATGCACTGAGGATCTTGCTCACCTTGATGGAAAAATAGCGGAAATGACTAACCGACTTGAAGGTTTGACCATGTCAATCAATGAAATTGCAAAGCTTCGAACTGAAGAACCTCCGCCCTTGCCGGTCCAAGCAGATATAAGAGCTTCAGACGACCCTCGTATCGGAGACATAATAAATCACGTATTAGAAACCAAAGATATGATACAGACCCTTCATTACATTCCGCCAACAGACATAGACCAAAGAAAAGAGCTCGAAGCGGCTTTGCAACCAATAGCCCATATGGTAAAAACCTTAATGGCAGAGATTAATGAGCTAAAGGATTGTACCAAAAAGGTGTGATTGAAGAAGACTTGGCAACTATTAAAACATTTGTGCAAGCAATGCAGACAGAAGACATCATCATCGGCGGCGACGCAAATGCCAGTAGCATCTGGTGGGGTTGCAAGGCGGATGACAACAGAGGAACACAGGTTATGGAAACTTTGGCGGAACTCAATTTGGAGGTACTAAATACAGGAAAAGTGCCTACTTTTAGTGCATACAGAAAAGACACTCTCTGTTCCAGCATCATAGATATTACCGCCTGTACAACATCACTCTTGCACAAAGTCGAGAATTGGAGAGTTGATGATTCTTTCTGCAATTTATCTAATCATAAGCCAATTCTTTTCAAATTGAGTACGTCAACTTCTTTTAATGCGATAAAATTCAACAGCACCAGGAAATACAACACAAGGAAAGCAAACTGGTGTCGTTTCGACTCTGAATTTAAGAAGGCATTAGACGAAAATGGTCTGACCAAGGAAAGAATAGGAAAAATCGGAGCGACAGAGGAGGTTGACGAAATCGTTAAAAAATATACAGAAAGCATAACAAAAGCATGTGATGTGGCGATTCCAAAAATGGAAAGAAAACAGATACCAAAAGCAGCTAAATGGTGGAATGCCGAAATTAAAGAAAAAAAGGAGATAACGATCAGATTAAGAAGGAGAATAAGTAATGCACACCCTGCAAGAAAAAACTGGGTTATAGAACAATATCTCGAAGCACGACAACAATACAAGAAAAGCATAGAAGATGCCACAACCAAAAGTTGGAAAGAACTGTGTACGAACGAGCAGAAAGAAAACGTGTGGCAACGCACATATCGCATATTGAAGGTCTGCTCTAATATAGAGGGAGATAAACTACTTAAAGACCGAAATGGGGCAATCTTATCAGAAAAAGAGTCGGCAACACTTCTAGCTGAAACTTTTTATCCTAAAGACAGCTCAAACACCGATACAGAGAAACAAAATGAAATTAGAATAAAAACAAAGGAACTTATAGCACAACTCGCAAATAATGCAATAGAAGTTAAGACACCATTTGCCAGAACTGAAATACACCAGATACTAAGTAACATGAACGCGAAAAAAGCCCCAGGAGAAGACGGCCTAACATCCGAAATATGCCAAGCTGCTTATAATAGTGATCCAGAGGTTCTGGAACTCCTCTACAACAAGTGCCTCCAACTAGGATATTTTCCCAAAACCTGGAAAAAAGCAACCATTAAGATAATCCCTAAGCCCAGTAAAGAAGATTACACCAATCCAAAAGCATATAGACTTATTGGTTTGCTACCAGTACTAGGTAAGATACTGGAAAAACTTTTTACGAATAGAGTCCAGTGGCAATTAGGAAAAGACGAAATGATGAACCAAAGACAGTATGGATTCACTCCACAGAGAAGCACCGAGGATGCGTTATATGACACTATAACATTAATCAAGAATGGACTAAGGAAGAAAGAAATAGTAATACTAGTGTCATTAGATATTGAGGGCGCATTTGACAACGCATGGTGGCCCGCAATTATTACAGAACTCAGAAACAAACAGGTTGAACCTACGGTATTAAAACTTATAACTAGTTACTTATCAGACCGTGAAATAGACTTAAACTACGCCAACGAAAAGATTACATTAAAAACGAATATAGGATGCTGTCTAGGCAGGAAAATTTGCGATAAAAACGCAGTATTTAACGCGCGCTTTTGGCCTCGATATCAAGGGCACCTTCCCTCTCCCCCGCCCCCCCGGCCGCCGGACGGGTCGGCGTGGCTCTTCTCGCGAGGTAGTAGGATTTTTCTTGCGAACTATACGGACGTATTTTTTCGCGCCTAAACTTGCTAAAGGAACAATCCGCGTAAATCGTTGCAATAACGGTATCGTTATTAGAACGTACTAACTCGGTGAAATTCGCGCGCAACTATCAAAGTGATTTACATCTGAAGGACTACCAGAGTAGCCGTCCCATTTGGTGACAACCCCTTACGAGTGCTCCAGAAGGGTGAAGTTCCGGGGATACCAGCGCGTGCCTTCTCCCGGACGTCGTCGAGTCATCCAGATCGGTTCCCGTCAACATACCAGCACACACAATTACACCTACACTCACAACACCGCACACACCAAGCACAACTTTCATCAGCCGGGCCGGTCGAGGAGAACCGTCTGCGCTCCTGGGGCAGGTAAGTGCATTTATTCTAGTGACCTTTCCCCTCGTGTGTTCATTAGAAACCTTTGACCCTCGGCGTAGGAACGCCCGACCTGCATCTGCCCGTGGCTCCTTCGTCTATGGGCCGCGAAGGATCCAACTCCTGTTGAGGCAGGGTAGCTGTTGGCCGTAACATTTGGTAGCAGAACGCGGTGCTGGGATCGATTCCCGGTCGATCCACCGACCATAGTATTTGATAAAAATTAAATAATTTGGTGGCAGGAGCGTTGGGTGGATTTGTGGCTACAATCACGCCCGTCCGTAATACGTAAAATACCTTTTTATTATTATACGTAATAATAAAATTCCTTCCTTTGTTAGCTTGCTTTACTGTTAGCGGGTAAAATTGAAAGGCCACACCCGGTTCGCGCGCAAGCGGGAGATTGCGTCGTGTAGGTAGATGGTTATTTTTACGTAATCGGTTAATTGTCGTTGTCGGATGGTAGTGTGTTACTTATCGAAGGATTGATTTCCGAGCAAGGCATTTTTGTTGATGTGTATCTTCGTTACATATCTTTCGTATTGTAAATTGTATTTGAACTAAAGAGTGGTAATTTGTATTTACGTAATTTAAATGAACTTGATTTGATCGTACTAGTATTTGTTATTGTTGATTTGATTTACCTTTTCCTTTGTACTAACTTGTGTTTGATTTAATAATAGCTGTTCTTATTTGTGTACATTCTATCCAACTCGATTTGATAGGAACTGCATTAGTTAGCTGTTAATTTTTTTGTATTTTTTATTTGTTATTGTTGTAATTGTGCTCGAGCCGCGTCGTAATTTGAATTTAGTAGTGATGTCCTCGCCCAAGATGCTAATCCGTTGCCTGCGGACTGAGCTGCGCTGGGCTACCAGCGCACACGCGTTGATAGGCCGACCGGACAGGTATTACAATCTGAGGAAGAGGCTTGAGCAGGTCGATGCTCGAAGGGCGGCCGTGGAGGAGGCTTACTCTGAGCTCGAGGACTTGGAGGTGGAAAAGGGAGTCCTGGAATCTTGCCGCGCGGACTACGAGCAGTTCCTCGCGCTGACGGACGACCTGATCGAGGCGGGGGCCAAAGATGCGGAGAGGGAGCGCGAAGCTCGGCTGAGTAGCCTTCTCGAGTCCCCGCGGAAGCCGTCTGCTCAGCCAGAGCTGCTAGGACGACTTCCGACGCTGGACCTGCCAAGGTTCTCCGGGGTCCTCTCGGAGTGGATGACCTTCGTCGGCCTGTTTGACAGCCTGGTGGACGCCCGGAGGGACCTGACCCCCTGCCAAAAAATGGGGTACCTCCTGGCTTCACTAGAGGGGGAGGCCCTGAGCGTCGTCGGCCACCTTAAGTTGTCGGACGACGCCTACCAAAACGCCAGGGACCTCCTCGCTGGAAGGTACGCCAACGTCCGGCGGATTGCGGACGATCATGTTCGGAGGCTGCTGAACCTCCCGCTGCTGAAGGACCGGACTAGACTACGTGAAGACATAGTGAATCCAGTTGTCGTAGCGTGCAACTCGTTGCGGCGGCTGGATTTACCTGTGGACGAGTGGTCTTTTCTGCTCCTTCATATAGTGCTGTCCCACCTGCCCCTCGACCTTCGGCTCCATTTTGAGGAGAGGTTCGGAGGGGATGGCGCCTCTTATATGCCCCCCTTTAGGGACCTGCTGCGGTTCCTGGAAGAGCAGTGCAGGCTGCTGGAGAACGCAGCAGGCGCCGTCGAGGGCCCCCCGGCCTCCTCCCGAGCGGTGCCCAGGGAAAGGCGGAGTCAGCCGGCTAAGGCGGCGCCCACCCCCCTGAGGCCGAGTGGAGCCCCCGCGGGAGGGCGCCCCCCCGTACCCTCCTATAGTGGCCTAGCGGCCCGGGAGGCGCCTCCCTGCTCCTATTGTCGAGCATCCGACCACCGGCCGGCGTCGTGCCCGAAGTTGTTGCGCAAGCCGGCTAAGGCGAGGCGAACCATCGCCAGGGAGCGCCGCTGGTGCTTCTCGTGCCTGGAGAGGCATTTACAACGAGACTGCCCGCACCAGCGGCCCTGCACGCACTGCCAGGGCAACCACAACGTCCTCTTGTGCCTGGGTGCGCGCGGCTCGTCCTCGCAGGGCCCTGCCAGCCCCCCGACTCCCACGGGCGGGGGCGCCCAGCCACGCCCACTGTCGGGCGACGCTCGGCGCTCACCGGCGGACCGCAGCGCCCCTCCTTCTGAAGGGAGCCCCTCCCCCGATCGGTCGGGGAGTCGTTCCCCCAGGGGCGGGGGGGTCTTCACCCCCCCTCCCCGAGTTGATAGTGGATTCGCGGCCACTCAGCGGTCAGCTAGACCTTTCTCACCCCTGTTGGCTGAGTGGCCGCGACTGGAACGCCGCCCGCCCCCCTTTGGCCGGTGCCGGTACTACCGGGTTCCGGAGACTGCGTATCGGCCCCGAGCCTTGGAGCCGAGGATCCCCGAGTTTCCCTCGGTCGGCCCGTTCGGGGAATTCCAGTCGGGGGTCATCGAGACGCCGTCGGAGTGCCGCGCTCGGGCCCCCCGGTTCGGGTGCCGGCCTAACAGAGGCAGCTCCAGATAGGAGGCTGCCGCCTTAGCTCCCGCCATGGCCGCCTCCACTGAGCCTATAAGTCGTCAGCAGTCCACCTGTCAAACTGTTCTATTGCCGACAGCCTCAGTGAAGGTTTACAACCCGAGCGGCGACCACTTAACGGTTCGAGCTCTATTGGACTCGGGTTCCCAGCGTAGTGTGGCCTCTACTCGGTTGGTGGGAAGACTGGGGCTCCCCTGGAGCTCTGAATCACGTCCGATGGTAGGTATCGGAGGTGCCGAGCCTCCTGCTCCTAGGGGACAATCGGAGTTGGTGTTCAGCCCTGACAGCGAACACCTTCGTATTTTAGTCAAGGTAAATGTCCTTGACGACATTGTAGGGTTCCTCCCTAACGTTCGTATAAATGACAGCGCTGTGCGCTGTGCGTCGGCTTTGAGACCGGCAGACCCTCGGTGGGCCCAACCGGGGCCGATAGATTTGTTACTGGGGGCCGACACGCTGGGTGCCCTCTTGTTAGGTGAGATACGAGCTCTGCAGCCCAATGGCCTGTCAGCCATTTCCACGATATTTGGGCACAGCTTTTTTGGACCGGTTATGTGGTCTCCTCCCTCTCCGACGGCCTACCCTCTCTCCGTCGTGGGCGTGTCCCTATCGGACGCTGTCCAGCGATTCTGGGACATTGAGGAACCACCCCATGCAGCTCGAGTCGACCCTCTGGACCGTGAGTGTGAGTTGTTCTACCAGAACAATACCGGCCGGCGGGTTGACGGTCGTTTCGTCACTCGCTTACCCTTTCTGGACTCCCGCCCCTCTTTGGGTCAATCCCGTGCTCTGGCCGAGAAGAGGTTGCTTTCCATGGAGCGCCGCATGCGGCGTGACCCAGCCTTTCGCGACAAATATGTCAAGTTCATGCGCGAGTATCAGGAGCTGGGTCACATGTCACCGTCCAACTTCGAATGGCGTTCACATGAGCACTACTTCCTCCCTCACCATGCGGTCTTGAGGACCCCTGAGAGTAAGATTCGGGTAGTCTTTGACGGTTCCGCCCCCACATCAAACGGTGTGTCCCTGAATCAGTGTCTTCACTCGGGTCCTAAACTGATCAAGGACATATCCGACATCCTGACCCAATTCCGTCGACACCAAGTGGTTTTTGTCGCGGACATTCGGATGATGTTTCGCCAATCGGTGGTACATCGTGATGACCGCCGATATCAGCTGATATTGTGGCGCGAGAAGCCCAGCGATCCCATACAGGTATTTGAGTTGAACACCACCACTTATGGACTCCGGTCCAGCCCGTATATCGCCATGCGAACCCTCCTTGAACTCGCTGAGAGAGAGCGCCTGAGATACGCTCGGGGAGCTTCTATCTTAGAGACTTCGGTCTACATGGACGACATTTGTACGGGCGCTTCCACCGTCGAGGAGGCTCTGGTCTTGCGAGACGAATTAATTGCCATCCTGAAGTCTGGAGGCTATGAGTTGCGCAAGTGGCTGTCGAACTCCCCACACATTTTGAGGGACCTCCCAGGAGAGGATCAACAAGACCCTCATCTGTTCGAGCACCCTGAGAATCCTAATTTGCTGACTGTGCTGGGCATTCAATATCAGCCTGTTCAGGACACCTTCACGTATAGAGTAAAACTTGACCCACCTCCCAAAGCATGGACCAAGCGCTCCGTGCTGTCTACAGTAGCTCGCACCTTCGACCCGAATGGATGGATCACCCCGGTCATCTTTTTGGCTAAGTGCTTTCTTCAAAAGCTCTGGATGTCCGGGTTGGGTTGGGACGAGCCTATTAGCGGGGTCCTCTTGCGAGAGTGGCTCTCCATGCTCTCCTCCCTTCCGGACATCAACCGGGTTTCCATGCCAAGGTGCTTCCTACCTCCAGGGAAATGCAGGGCTACCCTACATGGGTTTTGCGACGCCTCTGAGAAGGGCTATGCTGCTGTCGTATATTTGCGGACTGTGAGTTCCTCTGGGCATACTGCAGTTCATCTCGTACTCGCCAAAAGCAAGGTTGCTCCCATTAGATCCCGTTTAACTATCCCTAAATTGGAACTGTCCGAAGCCGCTCTTCTCACGCGGCTCCTCAACCACGTTCACTCGTCCTTGAAGCCTGTAATCGACATTACGGACGTCTACGCATGGTCGGACAGTGAGATAGTACTTTGTTGGCTCCGAGCCGCACCTCACAATCTTGAGGTCTTTGTGGCGAACCGCGTGACTCAAATCCAGAGTTCTGAGACTTCTCTCCACTGGAGACATGTCCCCGGGGAGTTGAATCCCGCCGACTGCGCTTCCCGCGGCTGTGAGGCCCCCGCGCTGGTTGCCCACTCATTGTGGTGGGGTCCCGGTTGGTTATCTGATCCTCAATCCTTCTGGCCCCAGGATAATTACTCCGAACCTACTGAGTTGCCGGGCCTACGGGCCCGAGTAGGAGTGGGCAAGGATAAGCCCACTCGGGATCTCTCCCTTCTGGAACGGTACAGCTCTCCCGATAAGCTCTTAGGAGTGACTGCTTGGCTGCGCCGCTTTGTCCACAATTCGAGAGATCCGTCCAACCGACTCTCTGATTGCGTTTTGTCCCCTAGCGAGCGTCGGGAAGCCCTGATGCATTGGATCCGTATGGTCCAGACGGAGCATTTTGAGCCCGTTATCGAACACTTGAAGCGTGGCTCCGTTATCAAGGGCGCTCTGGCCCGCCTGAACCTCTTTCTGGACGACGCTGGGATGCTGCGCGTGGGCGGACGTTTGAAAAACTCTCAACTGCCGTGCGGGGCTCGACACCCGTTGCTGCTCCCTAAGGACGGCGCCCTTGTCCGGTTGCTGGTAACCCACCACCATGTTAGGAATGCCCACGCTGGGTGTAACGCCCTGTCGGCTATTTTGCAGCGGGAGTTTTGGATTTTGTCTGGTCGTCGCACCATTCGGAGCGTCATCTTTAAGTGCATCCCCTGTTATAAACTGAAGGCCCCCATATCGCAGCCTCTTATGGGTGACTTGCCGCCCGACCGCGTCAGGGCCATCCGACCATTCGCTGGGGTCGGAACAGACTTCGCTGGCCCCTTCCTCGTCAAGTCCTCTAACCTTCGTAACGCGCGTTCATGTAAGGCCTATCTTTGCGTCTTCGTGTGCCTCTCCACTAAAGCCGTTCACTTGGAACTGGTGAGCGCCCTCAGCACGGAAGCCTTCTTGGCCACGCTTGGCCGTTTCGTGTCGCGGCGCGGCTTGCCGGACTTGATCCGGTCTGACTGCGGGACGAATTATAAGGGCACGGATAGGTATCTCAAGGAGGTTGTCGAATTTCTGTCCAGCCACCGGACTTATTTAGGAAATGCTATGTCGAAAAGGGGCATCCAGTGGAAATTCGACCCTCCGGCGTGTCCCCACTGGGGCGGTATTTTCGAGGCGGTGGTTAAGGTTGCCAAAACGCATCTCCGTCGCGTTATTGGTGAAGCCATTTTGACGTTTGAGGAGCTCGCCACTGTATTCTGTAAAATTGAGGCGGTACTCAACTCTCGGACCCTCTGTCCCCTCTCCTCTGACCCGAATGATTTGGAGGTTCTAACCCCGGGACACTTCCTGATTGGCCAGCCTCTTAACGCTCTGCCCGAGTATCCCTTCAGGGAAACGAGTGCTTCACGGCTTAGCAGGTTTGCCCTGCTGCAACAGATGACTCAACGCTTTTGGCACCGATGGTCTCTGGAGTACCTACATCTTTTGCAGCAGCGCGTTAAGTGGTCTGACAAGACGGAGCCTCCTCGGGTGGGAGACCTCGTGTTGATTAAAGAACCAAATGCGCTACCTTTGTATTGGCGCCGTGGGCGCATTGTTAAATTGTCGTATGGAACGGATGGGGTGCCTAGAGTGGCCGAGGTTTTGGTCGGAGATTCGGTCTTGCAACGGGCCGTCGCGACCTTGTCCCGTTTGCCAATCTACTCGCGGACTTAATGCCTTATGTCCGGGGCGGGGGGTTATCTAGGCAGGAAAATTTGCGATAAAAACGCAGTATTTAACGCGCGCTTTTGGCCTCGATATCAAGGGCACCTTCCCTCTCCCCCACCCCCCCGGCCGCCGGACGGGTCGGCGTGGCTCTTCTCGCGAGGTAGTAGGATTTTTCTTGCGAACTATACGGACGTATTTTTTCGCGCCTAAACTTGCTAAAGGAACAATCCGCGTAAATCGTTGCAATAACGGTATCGTTATTAGAACGTACTAACTCGGTGAAATTCGCGCGCAACTATCAAAGTGATTTACATCTGAAGGACTACCAGAGTAGCCGTCCCATTTGGTGACAACCCCTTACGAGTGCTCCAGAAGGGTGAAGTTCCGGGGATACCAGCGCGTGCCTTCTCCCGGACGTCGTCGAGTCATCCAGATCGGTTCCCGTCAACATACCAGCACACACAATTACACCTACACTCACAACACCGCACACACCAAGCACAACTTTCATCAGCCGGGCCGGTCGAGGAGAACCGTCTGCGCTCCTGGGGCAGGTAAGTGCATTTATTCTAGTGACCTTTCCCCTCGTGTGTTCATTAGAAACCTTTGACCCTCGGCGTAGGAACGCCCGACCTGCATCTGCCCGTGGCTCCTTCGTCTATGGGCCGCGAAGGATCCAACTCCTGTTGAGGCAGGGCAGCTGTTGGCCGTAACAGATGCATTCAAGGATCGACTTGCGGCCCCATGCTGTGGAATATCCAACTTGATCCCCTGCTTCAGGCAACGGAAAACTCTGCAGCCCACGTACATGCCTTTGCTGACGACATCTTAATAATAGCCTCAAATAAAGATGGCCAACAATTAGAAAAAGATGTAAACGATACTCTTAAAATAATTTTAGAATGGGGAGATAAAACACAAGCTAAAATTTGCCCCACATAAAACTCAAAGCACAATTATTACAAAAAAGCTTAAATTTCATCGTCCCAAACTACTTATGGCTGGAGTAACCATAGCATACACAGATCAACTCAAAATTCTTGGATTAATTATTGACAAAAACTTTAACTTTAAGCCTCATTTAGATAATATTTGCAGTAAAGCAGTTCGACTTTACAAAATTGTATCCAGAGCAGCAAGAGCGCAATGGGGTCTCAACTCTGACATAGTAAGAACTATTTACCAAGCTGTGGTCGAACCAACCATTCTATACGCTGCGAGCTGCTGGGTAGAAGCCACCAATAAAAAATACATAAACCGAATGCTTAATAGACTAACACGAATGTTTAGCATTCGCATTTGTAAAGGCCACAAAACCATCTCCCTTGTATCCAGCGCGCTACTAGCTCAGATTATACCACTTGCGCTACGAGCCAGAGAAAATGCCGAATTGTATGAGATCAAAAGAGGCAAGTCTATTGATTCACTCCCTGGGAGACATTTGCAGATGAGAATAAGTCCTTTTCACCTACCACACCCCTCACTAAGAATTAAGAGAGAATACAAGCTAATAACGTGCCAAGAAGACATTAACCAAATTGACAACAACTGGCCAAAAATTTTTACAGATGGCAGCAAACTGGATAACAAAGTAGGTGCGGCTGTTTCAGTATGGCAAGGTGGAGAAGAAACTAAAACCATCACCTGTAGGCTGGAAAGTTACTGCAGCGTATACCAAGCCGAATTAATTGCTATTCTGAAGGCAGTCACATATATGTTAGAAAAGAAGAACCTTAAAGCCAACATTCTTAGCGACTCGAGGTCAGCAGTTATAACAGTTTGTAATCCGACGTCACTTAATCCAATTGCAGCTGAAATCTCTTCGAAACTAAATGACATAGAAAAAAAAGATGGCAAAGTTCAGATATACTGGATAAAAGCTCACTGCGGCTTATTAGGTAACGAAAGAGCAGATGAGCTAGCAAAATATGCCGCAACCAGCAAAAAACAGAGAGCAACATATGACTTATTCCCATTGTCTTACGCCAAGCACCTCACCAGGAGCAACACGCTGTTAAGATGGCAAATCAAATATGAAGAAGCAGCAACCAGTGGGACCATAAGAACTTTTTTCCCAAATGTTATAACAGCCTATAAGGTTTTAAAAAATATAAAGATAACAAATATTGTAACTCAGTTGTTTACTGGCCACGGTGGCAACAAGGCCTATCTTTTTAGATTTAAGCTTTCATCATCCCCATACTGCACATGTGACGACAGTACAGAACAAACAGTAGAACATCTAATTATAGACTGCCCACGATTTGGCAAAAAAAGATACGAGTGTGAATGCAGTATGGGAATGAATATAGAACGTAAGAACCTTAGTACTATTATTGCTGACAATGATTGTAGATCTCACTTTATACACTTCGCTCTCTCAATATTAAAGGTTGTTAACAGAAAACGGGAGTATAATAGTAGAATAATATTTTTAGGTTAAGTAAATTACTCTAAAATTCTCCAAATTAAACTAGATATAAGACCATTTTTGTAGCATAACATAAAAATTGCAGTCAGAATTAATATAACCCCGTTTGGCATAATTGCTATTAATTACTGTGAAATCAAGACTAATAAAGTTAGAATAGTAATAACGTGTAAGTATAGCGTACAGATTATAAAATCAAAATAATAATTGTAGTAATCACAAGTAGTAAATTGTATTATACCTTGAAGAATTGATCAAAGTGTATTAAATTCGATTATTCTTATTATACTTAGGATAAATTGTAAATATACAGGGTCATTTTTAATTTACTGAAGACCTTTTGGGAATATATTGGTTACATCATTACAAGCAATTTTAGTGAGATCACTCTTCACAGAATATAATACATTTACGAAAAAACTACTTTTAAGGTTTTGTTGTCATGTCTGACTCCTTTTAAGTCTGTATTTTGTAGTATCTAAACAATGTCAGAATAAATCGTCAAAGAAAATGCCTAAATAAGGCATTTTTACACTTGATACAGTATCAAACATTGTGTTGAAATCATTAAACATAATTAAATGAGCAAATGATATTAAAAAAAAACCACAAATATTAAAATTTATAATAAGTAAGAATGACAGAGGGGCCGGTCGACGCCCGCGCTCAGCTGATTGCGTTGCGAGTAGGGATACCAGATGAAAAAATTAAAAGTCCGGAGAAGGGGCCTGATTTCCATTTAAAAATCCTGAGATTGTTTTACAGTTTCAGAAGAAAACCTTACTTAAAAAGGTATCTTCACATATTAAGTATGATAAAACTGTTTAAGTACCTACTTGGATAAATAAGTTTGATTTTAATTGTGGAATTATTACCAAAGGAAAATTATTTTTAGTATGTTTAACTTTTTATTAAGAGATCTTTTAAAATATAAGCTGTATTATATTGAAAGTTCTAAAAATCCTGAGACTTCATGAGATTTGCAAAATCCAGCCGCAATCCTGAGAAGAGTCTAAAAATCCTGAATTCTCAGGACAAATCCTGAGATATGGTAACCCTAGTTGCGAGAGCCTACTAAACCATTCATCACTGTGCCTATTGCACCAGGGCGCCACTTTAAATGACTTTACATTAACTTTCATATACTTCTTTATTTTGCATAAAACCATTTGATGAACTATTTGATTCTTTTATTAATTTCTTTAAGAATTAATAGACATTCTTTAATATACATTTAGGTAGTTTTTTTACGAATACTGTTTGCTAGCAACTCTGCCTGCATCCAAGAGGCAACGCCTCAACGTCGCACATGCGGCGGCCCAAGGCCAAGCCAACGATATATTATGACGTCGACACAGGTGTCACCCTCATCAAAGGCGCCGCCTGCCCTTTTCGGTTTGCAGGCATCGATTAGGTGATCGATGTTTGCAGCACGTCCAAATTAAATGAGTATTATTAACTATTTTTTTATTTAATGTAAGTTGTATTTAAAAAATAGATGCAGTTTAAAATAATTACAAATATTACCTACTACTAAACCGGTGTTGAAAGCTATGCGGTCTTGGTTCATGTGGATTTTCATAGCACCACAAGTGTTCATTGTGCGAATTAAATAGTCCTATTCTGCCAAATGTTGCTTCATCAGTCCATAAAATGTTGGCTCGTTCAGCAGCTAGTAACCAGTTACAAAGTGTAACTCGCGCTGGTTTGTCAGCTTCGCTGAGTTCATGAACACGATGCAAGTGGAAAGAGTACTTCCCTTCATTGTGTATGACACTCCATGCGTAGTACTGTGACACATTGAACTGTCGGGCTGCCTCATAAGTGCTCGCTGCTGGATTTTGTTCAAAAAACTGCAGTATGTCTTCCTGCTCACGTACTGTGCGCCGCGGTGGACGACCACGATCGATTGATACAGGCTGAAATTGCCCGTAATCTCGCAATCGCTGTGTAGTACCTAGCATCGTAGCGTAACTCGGTGCATGTGAGTTGGGAAATCGCCTTGAATATTCACGGCAGACTTCACTAACGTTATCATTGCAAATTGCTAAAATTCGCACCATTTCGGTATACTCAATATTTGAGTATCGGTATGCCATTGTAACAACGCGTAACGTTCGCGATATTAATCTCACAACGGAAGGAGAAAAGTCGCGGGCGCACAAAAGGCGACTGACCGACTGATGACACAGATAATTAGGTCAAGTTCAAATGAGCAAGCACCGCCTCCTACACCCCTCCACCCCTACCCCGCCACGCGCATTATTTTGCTATTTAGGACTATTGCCGTTTAGAAGGTCCAATTAAAATATTTTTATTTTTGTATGAAAATAAAAATTGAAGAAATATAATTTCTTTTCTTACAGACGTTGTTGTTATGATGTAAATAATATATTCCCAAAAGGTCTTCAGTAAATTAAAAATTACCCTGTATATAACGTAGGAAAATTAATGTCAATATATAACTAACACCCTGTTAGACATTAATGCTAATATAAATTGTTGGAAGAACAAAATTATCAAGTAAAAATTGTTGAATCTGTCAATACCACGATAAATTGTAAAATATACACTTTGTAAGCAGAACGGAACAATATAAAAAAAAATATATAAAAAAAAAAGAGATTTAAATAACCAATACAACAAAAAAAATCAGCAAGAAAAGTACTGCAGAAAAGTAGTAGTAGAAAAGTAAACATAAAAAAAAAAAACCTAACCTAACCTAACCTAACCTTTTTTTTTTTACATGGGAAATGCCTACGCATACCCGCCTCGCGGGGGCAAGGACGGGTTATGTCGGACTCGCACCGACTGAAACCCCATGGTGTTCCACCCTCGTCGCATATTGGCAGGGCCACGGGAACGCTTTCGCACACTTCCGCGGCCCCACCTGCGCTGGCCGCCCCATGGCGGCCCCTCCCCGGGAGAGGACCACTCCTCCCCCATTTCCCTCTCAGGTAAGGCGCACCAGAACACATGGCGTGCCCTCCTCCTCGGCCTCCAATTTCATATGCGCCACGGACGCCCCCGCGTCCGATGCGCGAAGGCCATGGGCCCAGGAAAAACCAGCACTCAGAAGCACCGGCCTTCCCGGCCCCAGCGGCGGATCTGGTCTATGGCTCCGCCGCCAACCAAGATTCGGCTGCGGAGGGTAGGGAGAGCGGCGCCTCGCAATACCGACACTCTTCTCCCCCCGCAGCCCCACCACCACCGCATCATTTAACGGTGCGGCCCCGTCTGAGTCGCGGAGGATAGGGCGAGTGGCGCATCGCCATACCAGCACGCCTCCTCCTCCGCGACTCCACCTCGGCTGCAGCGATAGAGGGAGCGGACACCCCTCTCGCAGCATCCCACCGACACACATCCGAAGTGGGCTTCCCAAGCCCACTCGGAGTGGCCACCTCGGGCCGGCCCTACACCTCGGGCCAGCCAAGGGGTTCCTCTTTGTTCACCGCGGGTGACCAATCCACGGCTACTAAGCCCCCCCGCCACGACAAGGCGGGAACCCGTTCGGGGGGGAACCTTTTTTTTTTTTTTTTTTTTTTTTTTTTTTTTTTTTTTTTTTTTTTACATGGGGAAATGCCTACGCATACCCGCCTCACGGGGGCAAGGACGGGTTATGTCGGACTCGCACCGACTAAAACCCCATGGTGTTCCACACTCGTCGCATATTGGCAGGGCCACGGGAACGCTTTCGCACACTTCCGCGGCCCCACCTGCGCTGGCCGCCCCATGGCGGCCCCTCCTCGGGAGAGGAACACTCCTCCCCCATCTCCTTCTCAGGTAAGGCGCACCAGAACACATGGTGCGCCCTCCTCCTCGGCCTCCAATTTCTAATGCGCAACGGACGCCCCCGCGTCCGATGCGCGAAGGCCATGGGGCCAGGAAAAACTAGCACTCAGAAGCACCAGCCTTCCTGACCCCAGCGGCGGATCTGGTCTATGGCTCCGCCGCCAACCAAGATTCGGCTGCGGAGGGTAGGGAGAGCGGCGCCTCGCAATACCGACACTCCTCTCCCCCCGCAGCCCCACCACCACCGCATCATTAACGGTGCGGCCCCGTCTGAGTCGCGGAGGATAGGGCGAGTGGCGCATCGCCATACCAGCACGCCTCCTCCTCCGCGACTCCACCTCGGCTGCAGCGATAGAGGGAGCGGACACCCCTCTCGCAGCATCCCACCGACACACATCCGAAGCGGGCTTCCCAAGCCCACTCGGAGTGGCCACCTCGGGCCGGCCCTACACCACGGGCCAGCCAAGGGGTTCCTCTTTGTTCACCGTGGTTGACCAAGCCACGGCTACTAAGCCCCCCCGCCACGACAAGGCGGGAACCCGTTCGGGGGGGTCGGGGGGGAACCTAACCTAACCTAACCTAACCTAACCAACTACAACTTTGCTTATAACTTTCATAAAACTTCGTCTATTTTGTTCAAATTTTTTTTTTCTAAATAATACAACTAATGCTCCCCATATTACCCTATAGTTTTCTTATTAAATTTTCACTGTTATATTATAAATTTTCACATTTTTCATTATTTTATAGTCGCAAATTCACAAATAAAACATAAAATCTTCTCTAACTTTGCATAAAATTTGTCTTTTCTGTTCATATTTTCTTTTTATATAGTGTAACTAATTACTACCTGTAATTCCCTATAGTTTTTTCATACAATTTTCACAGTAAAATTACAAATTTTCATATAATTCGTTTTCTTAGAGTCGTATTTTCATTAAATTTTTATTTTTTTTTTTCAAATCTGCTTTTATTTCGCTCTTTTTGCTTCTGTAAGGTCCGTCTAGTGTAGAAACTGCCATCTGCACTCAAATCTGTAAAATGAAACACGCGGAAATAGAGAAAATTGCCCTCCCACCCTCCCTGTTTTCATTACTTAAGTAAATTTTCATACTTCTTATTATAAATCATAATTATTTTCGTCTTTTTCATTTAGATTTTCTTTTTATATAGCGTAATTTATTGTCCCTCGTATTTTCATATAGTTTTCTTTATATATTTTCACATTTAAATAATTTATTTTCATATAATTCGATTTTCTAATAGTAGTAAATTCATAAAACTTTAAACTTATTTTTTAAGTCTTCGTTTATTCCGCCCACCCTCTCGGTTTTCATCACTTAAGTTGTTTTACATCACACAAATGTCAACTTTGAAAAATACTTGTTCTGAAGTCGATCTCAGCCAAGAATCCATTAAAGCGACTAACAAGGCTGAAGATCCCATCCATATAACCGACGACGAATACGAAGAGGCACGGTCTGACCACGGGTTAAATCTGAACGAAGAGTACCTCGCAAAAATATTAGAAAACATAAATTTTATTCAGCAAAATTTAGACGGCAATAGAAGCGTTACGCGCCAGAATAAAGAAAACATCAAAAAATCGTTGGATGAAATTAATCGCAGTTCTCAACAATTGTTCGATCGAGTGAAAACCGTTTTACGGCATTCAATATCATCAGCCGAAAATAAAACGGTGACAATCATCAGGAACACTATTAAAGAAGAGCTCTTAAAGTTTACCCAAAAACCTCAACAACTATACACTCAGCCATTGCAACGTCCACTTCTATCACCTTCAACCACTACATCACCCATATCGTACGCTAACGCTGTTAAATCTTCCACGCCTGTAAAGAAATCCATTCCCATAACAAAACCGGCAATCATTGTTAGTGCGAAGCAGCCAGTTTCTTCTCCACAAGATACTATTAGTGCTTGGCGGAAAAGTGTACACTTTAAGCACTATACCTTCAGTCCCGCTGACGTCAAGCAAGTATCTAACAATAAACTCAGAGTAGAGTTCGATAACGAAGAACATCGGGACAAGGTTATTGACGCCGCAAATCAGCCAGATAGCTTGGTTAACGCTGATATAGCCAAGAAACTGAGGCCTATGATAATATTAAAGGGCGTCTTTATCGACACCCCAGTAGCTGAACTCAAAGAAATTATTATAAATCAAAACCCAAGAATAAAAAGTTAAATAAAAACTCCTGACGATATAACCTTCCGTTTTATAAAAAATAATAAAAATAAAAAACTATACAACCCTGTTTTTATGGTAACTCCTCAAATTTGGAGAACTGTTATAGAACTACAGAAATTAAATATTGATCATCAGAGAGTACATACTGAAGACCACCCAGCGTATCTTCATTGTTACAAGTGCCTTAAATTCGGTCACACGAAGAAATATTGCACAGAAAACAAAACAATTTGCTCCTACTGCTCATCATTTGACCACTCCTACAAAGATTGCCCAGTCAAAAAAAACGAAACTAAAGTCAACTGTTACAACTGCTCACTACATTGCAAGAAATATAGGTAATTTGAATTTAAATACTCAACATAGTGCCACGTCGCTACTTTGTCCCCGCTTACAAAAACAGATAGAAAGCTACAAAAACAGGACTGACTATGGACATCAGAAATAGAAACAATACAATCTCTAAAAATCACCCCGCAATAAAATGTTTACAAATTAACCTTGACAGGGGCTATGCAGCAACACACGAAATGTTTACATATATTAACAATAATCAAATTGATGTAGTTTTTATCAGCGAACCATATGTAGGTAAAAATAGTTCTATGAATCCATGCCCTAATTACAATATTTATCAGTTCCCAACTGATCGTCATGTTAAAGCATGTATTCTTGTAAGACAGAAAATTGGATGTACCCTGGGTATGTCCGAATATTCTTCTCCAAATCTGTGCATTGTGCAAATTGTCATCCGCGGTAAAAAAGTATTTTTAATTAGTGCATACGTTGAACCTAGGAACGATGAAATAAACACAATCAATTCATTAGATTTCTTCCTCCAGAATAATCCAAACTCTATACACATTATTGGCGGAGATTTCAATAGATGGCACCCCCTTTGGGGTTCAGTGCGAGCCAACCGCCGTGGTAACAACATCGTAAACCTGATCACAACCAATAATCTAAACATTTGTAACATCGGCACCGATCCTACTTTTGAAACAGTCTCTCATAACATCCATCGGGAATCAATTATAGACCTAACTCTCACCTGCAACTCACCGCCAATTCAAATATCAAACTGGAAAATTACAAAAGAATGTAGTCCAACATCTAGTCATAATGGCATTATTTTCGAATTACATATGAATAAAAGTTCATTAACAAGAGCCAAAAAACTGTCCACCTTCAAGTACAACACACAAAATATAAAATGGGACGATATAAAAGAAGTATTTCAAAAACGAATTAGTGAAAACTTAGACCTAGATATCAATATTGAGCATCTTAACACTACAGAGCTTGAAAAATATGTCTCAAAATTAACGTCGGTTATTCAAAATGTTTGCAATAAACTGTTTCCACAAAAAGGCGAACACGCCCATAGAGCTCCGTGGTGGAATGAAAAACTAGAGAGTCTTAAACAAAAAGTTATAAAAAACCACCACAAACTACAACAACTAAAGCGTAATAAAAAACCCATGACCGACGCACTATCAGAAAAAGAAAAGCTAAAAAATGAATATTCGCAAGAAATAAGAGCCGAATCAACAAAACACTTCAAAGAATTTTGTAATAAGCAAGGAAAGGAGGACGTTTGGAGCGTTACGAATAGATTATTAAAAACAACACCACTAACAAAGCCTCCTACTACTCTTAAAACTAAATCTGGTAACTACACCTCAACCACCCAAGAGACCGCTGAAACTTTCCTTAAAGAGTACTTTCCTGAAGATGAACCGGACACAAATCCACGGCACACAACGATAAGGAGACTATCTAAAAAAATACCTGCAACGCTACCAGAACCTCCATTCACAGTCGACGAAATAATAAATGCAGTATCCTCCATGAACCCCAAGAAATCTCCAGGTTTTGGCCACCTCACAGCCGATATCTGTACAAATTTTATTAAATTATTCCCATCTGTGGTAACTAAGCTAATGAATAGATGCCTTCAACTCTCGTACTTCCCAAAAGCTTGGAAAGTTGCTTATATCAAAGTCATACCAAAGCCTAATAAAAGCGAACATACAACATCTTCATACAGACCAATAGGCCTAATAAATGTCTACGGAAAGGTTCTAGAAAAACTTATTACGAAACGATTAAATCATCATCTTCATATAACGGGCACTATGAGTAACATGCAATTTGGATTTAAAGAACAGACATCAACAAATAATGCTATCCAGAAAGCACTTGATGTGATTCAAGATGCTAAAGCTAAAAAACTACAAGTAATAGCTATATCTCTTGACATACAATCCGCATTCGACAATGCATGGTGGCCAGCGATTTTCCACAAACTCAACACTGTACACTGTCCCTCTAACTTATTCAAACTGTTGCAAAATTATGTTAAGGATAGAACGGTCAGGCTTGATTTTGCTGACAGTTCATGTACCAAACCTATGTCTCGAGGATGCATTCAAGGTTCAGTTTGCGGTCCTGTACTATGGAATCTGGTTTTAGACGAACTCTTAACGGCTGAACTACCTCAGGGATGCCACCTTCAAGCCTTTGCAGATGACATTCTCTTAATCACACAGTCGAAAGACATAACTACACTTGAAAATATAACCAATGAAGCGCTTACTAGAATAACCGATTGGGGAATTAGTGTTAAATTGAAATTTGGCCCACAAAAGACACAGATGATTTCATTTACAAACAAAGCTAGGAAATGTCAAATAATAATTAGTAATCAACAACTGTAATTTTGTCGTCAATTAAAGTATCTTGGAGTAATCATTGATCAAAAATTAAATTTTATTAAACACGTAGATCACATTATAAATAGGTCGTACAAACTCTATCAGAAGCTTGCTAAATTTATTAAACCTACTTGGGGAATAAATTCAGAGAATGTCCGTTCTATTTATAATGGCGTAATAGAGCCGATAATGTGTTATGCTGCAAGTATCTGGCACCCAGCGCTAAAATACAAATATGTCCAAAAACGTCTTCTCTCTCTGCAACGCAATTTTGCAATAAAAATTATAAGAGGTTTCCGGACCCTTAACACTTCAACTGCTATCTCTCTAGCACAACTTCCGCTCTTAAATATTAAAATTGAAAATTTTGCCGACATTGAAATAACTAAACACCGGAAAACATCTAAATATCTCCCAAATGACATTGAATTGGAAAGACTAGCTTCCCCAGCAGAACTCCCACATCCATCAAAAAGAAGACCAGTACAATTTTCTGAAATTACTTGCCAGGAAGATTTAAAAAAACTCACAATTAATACCACAACCAACATATTTACTGATGGCAGTAAAAATGAAGACGGAGTTGGAGCAGCACTAGTAGTTCATCACACTGAAGGCTTAAATATTATAAAAAAATATAAATTGCACAACACCTGCTCTGTTTTTCAGGCCGAGTTATTTGCCATTTTACAAGCAACTAACTGGATATTAGAAGACAAAATGCTTGACTTCACAATATTTTCTGACAGCAAATCCGGACTCTTAGAAATCAGTAATCCAGACACGACTCATCCAATAGTTGTTCATATCCATCGAAACATTATGCAAGCTCAATCACAAAATAAAGTGATCAATTTTTTTTGGACAAAAGCACATAATGCCATCCTTGTAAACGAAAATGCGGATAGAGCTGCGAAAGCAGCTACAAAATTGAATAAAGTGCCTGACTATGCGAAGTTCCCAATAAGTTATATTAAGAAAATACATCAGCACAACATCACTACAACAGCTGAAAATTATTATAATGATCCTGCAAATTGCACTTACCTTAAAACTTGGTTTTCCACTTACGAAAAACTTCAAACAGCTTTGGAAAAAATTAAACCCAACTTTTATAGTACACAAATATTTTCAAATCATGGTTTTCATAAAAGTTACCTGCATAGATTTAAAATAGTTCAAAATGAAAATTGTCCATGTGACGACATAACGCCCCAAACTATTATCCACTTAATAAAGGTATGTCCTAAATTTAGTTTAAGTAGAATAGACCATGAAATTAATTGCCAAAATCTCAGAATAGATCCATTTATATTAAGCGAAGTAGTTCAAAAAGAATCGTCAATAACAACATTCGAGAAACATATAAAAACCATCGTAAAATCATTAAAAAACTTTAACAGTTAAATATACCTACACAATCATATAATAAGAATAAAATAAAATAAAGAATAAAATACTAAAACTAACTACTTTAAAAAAAACAACTGAAATAAACAAAAGCAGTCTAAATAATGCAAATTGTATCCCAAAAGCATATTGCATTATTGAAGAATTATCCAAATTCTTTTTATAGGAAAAAAAAAACCTAACCTAACCTAACCTAACCTTTTTTTTTTTTTTTCATGGGGAAATCCTCATGGATACCTCCGGCTGTGGGGGCAACCGGAAGGTTATGCCGGACTCCTACCGGCTAAAACCCCACGGTGCCTCCTCGCACGTGCGCGCGGGGCCGCGGGAATCCAAATTCTTCCGCAGCCCCACAATAGTGCTGGCCCGGTCTGTCCGGGCCTCGTCTCCTGCACGGGGTAGGGAGGTGTTCAGCTACCCCCCTCCACAGCCTCCAACTCCACCTGCGTATCGGACCCCCCCGCGTCCGATACGCGGAGGCCATGGGGCCAGGAAAATCGAGCGCTTAATAGCGCCCGCTTTCCCGACCCCAGCGGCGGATCTGGTCTCGGGCTCCGCCGACAACCAAGTTTCGGCCGCGGAGGGTAGGGAGAGCGGCGCCTCGCAATACCGACACTCCTCTCCCCCCGCAGCCCCACCACCACCGCATCATTAACGGTGCGGCCCCGTCAGAGTCGCGGAGGATAGGGCGAGTGGCGCATCGCCATACCAACACTCCTCTTCCTCCGCGACTCCACCTCGCAAATTCTTCCGCAGCCCCACACTAGTGCTGGCCCGGTCTGTGCGGGCCTCGTCTCCTGCACGGGGTAGCAAGGTGTTTAGCTACCCCCCTCCACAGCCTCCAACTCAACTTGCGTATCGGACCCCCCCCGAGTCCGATACGCGGAGGCCATGGGGCCCGGAAAATCGAGCGCTTAATAGCGCCCGCTTTCCCGACCCCAGCGGCGGATCTGGTCTCGGGCTCCGCCACCAACCAAGTTTCGGCTGCAGAGGATAGGGCGAGTGGCGCATCGCCATACCAACACTCCTCTTCCTCCGCGACTCCACCTCGGCTGCAGCGGCAGAGGGTGCGGACTCCCCTCTCACCGCAGCCCCCCGACACACATCCGAAGTGGGCGCGACAAGCCCACTCGGAGTGGCCACCTCGGTCCGGCCCTACACCACGGGCCAGCCAAGGGGTTCCTCTTTGTTCACCGTGGGTGACCAAGCCACGGCTACTAAGCCCCCCCGCCACGACAAGGCGGGAACCCGTTCGGGGGGGAACCTAACCTAACCTAACCTTTTTTTTTTTACATGGGGAAATGCCTACGCATACCCGTAGCCCCATACAGGGCCATGGACCGCACGATTCCCACGTACAACCGCCTACAGGCGGCGCTCGGGCCCCGTTGCAACGTTGATAGCGCGCCCGCTGCACCCATCAGCTTGGGCGCCAGCCGCCGGAAGTGGGGTCCGAATTCCCATCGGCTGTCGAGCACCAATAGTATCTGGGATACTTCATGGTGGACTCGACAGCTATCCGGGCCCCGCTGACCACGATGTGTGAACCCGGCGGCGGCGCGCGTCGAGGCCATGGAACACCATGGCCTCCGACTTACTTAGGGCCACCTCCAGGCCCAGGCACCGGATGCGGTTCACCACTTGTGACACCGCAGCCGTGGCAACCAACGCTGCTTCCCTGTACGAACTCCCCCGGGCAGTGACGAGCGTGTCGTCCGCATAACACGTCAAGTCGGCGCCCGACGGGAGTTCACCTCTCAGCACCCAGTCGTAGCCGATGTTCCACAGGAGCGGTCCCAAGACCGATCCCTGCGGAACACCGCACGACATGACGCGCCGACCAGCGCCATCACGTCCCCAATAGGTAACGCATCTCTCCTCAAGGTAAGCCCCTATTGTGCGGCGAAGGTAGGGAGGCACGCGATGGTAATTCAGCGCCTCCCGAATGCAACTCCAGGGTAGGGTGTTGAAAGGGTTGGAGATGTCTAAAGACACCGCCAGCACCACCCCACCCCGGGATACTGTCTCCTCCGCTAGGGCCCTCACGCGCGTAATAGCGTCTATGGTGGAGCGCCCGCGACGAAAACCAAACTGGTTGTCATCCAGGTCCGGTCTCTGCACAAGTGGCTGACGAGGCGATCTGCGATGATACGCTCAAAAAGTTTGCCCGCCTCGTCGAGCAGCACTATGGGCCGGTACGCGGACGTTGAGTCCGCGGGGCGCCCCTCCTTCCTGAGCAGGACCAGGCTCCCCTCCTTCCACACGCTGGGAAACTGACCCTGCTCGAGACATGCCGTGAAGAGCCCTCTCAGCTGGGGCTCTAGCTCCTTCAGAGCCAGGACGAGAGCTCGACCAGGAACTCCGTCGGGTCCGGGCGCTTTGTTCTTAGCCCGGAGTCGCGACACGGCCACTCTCGTCTCTGCTTGCGTCACCTCGGGGACATCGGTGCTCTCCTCTTCTGGAGAGTCTGTGGCTGAGGGCGAAGCCATCACCGGGGGAACGTGTCCCACTCGCTCAGGGAAGAGAGTCGATAACACCGACTCTAGCAACTGGGGTTGCATCCTTTGTGTTAGTGGAGGCGCCCAGGGACGCAACTTGCCCCGTTACCAACGGTAGGGGCGCCCCCACGGATCCCGATCTAGGGACCCCAGCAGCTCCTCCCTGGCACGCGACTTTGAGTCGCCGATGGCCAGCCACAGAGTCTCCTTAGACGCGCGGTACACCTCATACAGCGCGTCCTCCTCGGCGGAATCCCGTCGACGCCGCCTTCGGTATCGGGTGTACCGGCGACGAGCCGCAACGCACGCTATGCGCAATTGCGCGATCTCGGCGGTCCACCAGTACAAAACGTTTTGGACCACGTCCCAGGAAGCAGCTGAAAAATTGAAGACTTCAGCCCCTCCATCATTGAGGGTGTCCGAGCCTAAGCAACGCCTGCCCCTGGTTGCTCTGAGGGGATTTGAAGAAGACCCAAAAAACGAAGAGGTAATAAGCGCTCTTTACGAGCAAAATCTTGCTGCTTGCGGATGGAGTGAGGAAAAGGTCAAGGAGAACTGTAGGATTGCCTTTAAGAAGTCCTGGAGAGGAAGCAGGCGGACTACCGTCATCCTGCAGTGTTCGGCTGCCCTAAGGGATGCACTGGTCGGACATAATCGTCTGTACGTTGGCTGGGACGTGGTTGAGCCATGTGACTACGTGGATGTCACATGCTGCCAGAGATGCCAGCAGTATGGGCATCCAGCAAAATACTGCCGGTCAAAGAAGGTGACATGCGGAAAGTGTGGAAAGGCAGGCCACGAACGAGGTGACTGCAAGTCAACAGAGGAGAAGTGCGCCACGTGCAAGCGATTTGGCCGAGCTGACTCTGGCTCGCACGTGACAATGGCGCGGAACTGTCCAGCACGCCTATACGCAGAGCAACGCTCCGTGGCCACCACCCAATACTGCCGGTAAGGGCGCTCCTACAAGAATATTGGGAGAGAAAGTTCATATCGGGCAAATTAACCTGGGTCGAGGTGAGCTCGCCTCGGCTGAGTTGCCTATCCTGGCGCGTGAACTGCACCTGGACATTGTTCTTATACAAGAACAGTACT